GGCTTTCATTTATGTACTTCTTAGAGCTATCCAGACCAAAGGTATTACTGAAATGCAAGGTCATGTTCCACAAATTTTTAGTAGGAGTCTCTGTTAAAATCTAACTGCCAGAAATAAGCTGCTAATGTTTACAGTGACTCTCCACACAGTAGTCCTGTGTTTCAGGCATGGAAATGGATTTTTCCCATCTTAGCCTGTAAAGGTCAAAAAATGTGTCTTTGCCAGGGCACGATTGCTACATGTTGTGAAAGAGATCCTTCCCTTTGCCAGTGCTGCTTCCATGTTCATTTATACTTTAATAGGAAAAAAGTCAGATTGTCTTCCTCCCAGTTTCTGACCTATTCCTAAAATCTCAGCTTATGCATGTGCTGTGGCCATAGCTGCAGTGGCTTTTAAGTTTTGAACTTGAATAGTTGCATTATGTACTATAACCTGCATTGCCATGTGCAGATGGAGACCCATCTGTCTCTCTGAACAAACAGGCTTGTAGCATCCACATCTTTTTACATTTCTGAGATGCATGCAGTTATGTGAATTTCACCCAGGAGAAGTGAGCACATATATCCAGTAGTCAAGACCTCTTTCCTGACATTGCTAAAATCTGCCAGAATAGGAGGAGGATATACTGGAATATGCAGTTTTGTAACACATTTTTCAGATTCTGAGACAGAAAAATACAGAGTAAAATAGTTGTATTTTTGGGAGATTTTTCTAAAAATCTTATGCTGCATAGAAATGTATGAAGAAAGTATGCAGGCACTGCTATTGCCTAATATTTAGGTACACATGCAGGTTCATCAAATATATTCGTTACTTAGCAAAGTCTGTTATTCCTCCTTAGCTATTAGTGGTTTTATTTTATTGTACTATTAAAATATGAATGTATTTTTGCTTAATTTTACAGCCAGCAGAGCTCTCTAGCAAAACATTTTTCTATTTTGCACTTTCAGATGTCAAATACAAAGGATTCTGCCAAGGCGTTAAAATAACTGATGTGCAGTGACCGATAAATTCTAACTTTATAATAAGTGCCGAATCGTTCCAACTTTTCTTTGTAGTCACTCCATTAACAGGAATCCCAATGGATTCCTTTGGTATTCACATGCATATCAGAACTAATTCTCTGGGAATTTCAGGGCAATTCATCATTTTGCTCTGTGTTTTATGATGCCAGAAAATGTTGCATGCATGCATTATAAAATGGAAATTTAGGAACACAACTGAAAATAGAAATCTGAGATAACTTCTGTTTTCATTAGACTTCTAAATCTTCATTTTACATTTAACCCTTTATAAATAATGGGTTGTGTACTTTCCTGGCTATCAAACTATTTTGTGGAAGGCTTTGTGCAGTAGTGAAATCTTAAGGGAAACACGTTGTAACTTTTTACCAATAAAGTGTTTGGAGAATGGTTTTCCCGCTTGATACTTGTATTGCTCACAATTTTTTTCCACCAGGGAAAATCTATGGGATTATACAGTGGGAACATTGCAGTTTGCATGGTAATAAACACAATTGGTGTAAAACACTCTTCATGTTAGTGCTTTTTTTAACTGATCAATTTATTACAAAATGAGAGAGTTTATTATGAGGTTTTGATTTTAAAAATGTTACTGACAGTTGAGAGCATTTGAGAGGCTTCTGAATTACAGATAGATCAGTAAGAATCAATTTGAAAGCTATACATTTTTTCATTGCTCACATAAGCTGTCTCAAATATGCAACCCATCTATATCAAAATGGGACATAGTGATACATGATGATTGAAGGCTTATTATAAATTACATTGGCTTATTTTTTGTATCAAATGACTATGTGCTTTTTTCTACCTGTGAAACTAAAATGGCACTCCACATTTGACTAAACCTGTGAAAATCACCACTAGGTCTTACTTACCCCAAAGCTGTCCACATCTAGTGAGGAGGATGCACGTGGCCTTTGCAGAATGGCAACTACATAAAGCTGCAGCTGCCCTCAGTCTGGTAGCCCAGCAAAAGCGTGTGGCAGGGCTGTAAGGAGTATGCGAGTCAGCTGGCTATTCTCCTCTCTAAGATCTTGTGGGATTTCTTCTGTTCCTTCATCTTTTTCTGGACATTAAGCTTGTTTTCATTTGCAGCATAGCCCCCCTCATGCAAGCCCTGAGCACTGCCAGCAATCCCTACTGGCTGGTGCCTGCAGCTCTGCTCCTCTGGCCACGGCAGCACTGGTGGACTGGGTCACTTGTGAATAAGCCTTTCTTTGTAGCCACGTGCTCACTGGCAGTGGGGCCACCCACGTTCTGCGAGCTTTAATTGGGGTGCTGCAATCAAGCTAATTATGTTCTAGGGACAGTCAGCCTTCAGCCTTGTGGAGGCTACCTTTAAAAATAGCACAGTGAACTTCATGCCAGCACAAGTGAAAAATGAGCACTTGTTAAGCTGTGTTTGATCCACTGGCAGTGCCATTGCTATCCTGCAAATGGTATGTGACCATGTGTCTGAGGAGGTGTGGAGAGGAGCACTGGAACATGCTGAGATCCTCAGCTCTGTCTGGCTCTCAGCTAAGCTAAAGTTCACGTGGTAGGTTTGGATTTGGAGTTTTTCAGGCAATTTTTCAAAGTCATGAATTACCTTCAAAAGTTAGAAAGTTATGTGTATTTTGGATCAGGTTATATATGGAATGTATAGTTTCCAGGATTGTGAGAGGAGATGGACTGATAGGCAATTTTCATATTGTTCTAGTAAAATGATGCTTCCGTGTGTTGCTCTTATATCGTTATTGTTTCCACCTTCGATGTTCTTAACTTGCAAAGTTTATCAAGGAATAAACAGACTGGCTGAGGAAGATACTCCAAAGTGGGAATTTTTGATAACCCTTTGAGAGGGATGTTTGTTATGATTGAGTGACTGGGATTCAGATGTCCATGTCATCTCTGTGAAAGTCATATAGGTTCTCCTACTGCCCACAAAAGTGAGCAAATAAAGGTTAAGTTTTGGGGTTGCCTTTTCAGTTTGGTGTTCATTTTTTTCTCCAGCAGTGCAGCCCTGGATATTCCTACTGTGTGTTTAAACACTGAAAGCAGCATGTAGTCCATGTGGGACCAGAAAGCACATACTCAGGCACCAGGGGAGTGTCCAGTTGCACAGGGAGATTTGTTGAACATGTGGTACAGACACACAAGAGTCCAGGTTTCTTCCCCAGCTTGTTGGGAGGTGATGGATGTCAAGGAGATGGTTGGAGGGAGGCATAGGCTTCTGCTGTGAGCTCCTGTAGAAAGGCAGGGTAGCACTGTTGTGTTCTCAAAGGTGGTGGCTTTTTCCCATGTAAACTATACATTTACTTAGCAGCACAGGAAGTTTTTTGTCCAAAGCTCTGGAAAGTCTGAAGTTCGCTGAAGTGTATTTGCATCCCCAATCTTTTAATGCTTGAAACATCTCCTATGAGGTCAGGCTGAGAGATCGGAACTGCAGTAAAAAAATATGTTAAGTACAGAGGCAGGGGAGAAAGTTTAGACATGTACTTAGTATAGTTATTTTGTTTCTCCTGCTCCAACAAGTGACATGCAAATTGTTTTCCACCTGTACTGAACATACTAGTGTTGAGAAAATGCAAGCTGTTCCAAATTTTGGGAATGTGAGTTCTGCAAAAGTTGCTGAGGAGTCCGCAAAAGTTTCAGGAGATAACTGTTCTGCCTGTGGAATTACATTTTAAAAGAGTAGAAAGTAGTTTTCACAAACTCTGAGATTTAATAGGCTTTCACTTTTATTTAAACTGGAATGTTTTTTCCAGTTATGCAGAAGTGATACTTCATTAGAGCAAACCTACCTCTTCAGCATAGTCCAGAACCCTGAGAGTGGAGCCACATGCTTATTTCCAAGTAACAACAGCTTCAGTAAGGTGTGGTTATAATTAAGAGTTCCTCCTAGCTCGTATGCTATAACTCAACCTTGCAATTTATGTATATTATTAGTACAATTATTTTTACATTATTTCTCTATTGCTTAGCTTTCTCTTAATAATCATGACATAATTTTATGTTTATATGAGTGCATCTATGAACAGCAGCAATGAAATAATAGTCTGCAATGTGTTCTTGTCCTTCTCGCAAGATAGGCACAGAGAGCAGATTGTTACCTTTTAAAGAATGCACGCAGTAACATACATGCTCTTTCATAAGTTAGACAAACAGGGACACAAGATTACTCCATCCCATCTTTTGGACCTATCTTCAGTGTGTGTATATTGTACCTGCCCACCCCCTCACTTCACAGGTACAGTATACATATCTGATTTTTAGAAAGGTTTCTCATGACACTTGAAATTCAGTCTTTCTATTGTTTTGGTCTCGTTTTCTTAATTCATAATTTTAAAGTATGAATTTGGACTGTAATTAACAGATTGTTAATTAGATTTCTGTCTATAGCCATTTTATTAGCAGTGTAGCAATCCTGCCCTGCAAATCAGACATTTGGGACTCAGCAAGCCATGTTGCCGCCTCCAGTACATTTTAAAAGACCAGCTGGCCGAGTGTCTTTGTGGGTGTCATTGTTTGCAGTCTGGCTGATTTGGTGTATTGGCAAGAAATGAAATGGTTTTAGTTGCAGTTAGTCGTTGTCACAAAGCAGGCCTACTCTTGGTAAGGTCAGTGAAATGTGTGTAATGACTCGCTCTTGGAAGAGCAAGCTGCTGCTTGGAAGAACCAGGTGCAATTTGAGTATATGCTGGTGGAAGGGAATTGAGGCAGATAGTGCCTAAGGATGTGTTGTTCCACTGCTGTGCATTGTTCTCCCTGCCTTCTTTCTCTCTGAAGGAATTAACAAAGTCCCACCTGATTGTGAGGAGCAGTTTTGGTACTGAAATTCCCAGCTGTTCTTGTTAGTGTGCTCTGGAATAAGGATGGAGAAGATGACCTGAGCACGATGTGCTGCGAGGGCAATGGGGTTTTCCTTCATAGTTGTGATACTACCTTTAAATTAGAATTTTAAAATTGATTAATCTGTTTCCTTTGTCTTCCCTGTAGGACGGGTCACTGGGAAATATTGATGATCTGGCACAGCAGTATGCAGACTACTACAACACCTGCTTCACAGATGTGTGTGAGAGGATGGAAGAGCTGCGCAAGCGGAGGGTTTCCCAAGACCTTGATTTGGTATGTAGAAAAGCTACAACTTTATTAGCAAATAATTACCATTCATGCTCCAGATGAAGAATCAATATTACAGCTCGAAGAATTCTACCCAGGGAAATAACTACGTGATTGTGTTCACGCATACAAACGTTTCAGCCAACTCAATTAGCTGGATTAGGTTTTTTCAAGGTATTTTTTATGATTCATTAAGCCTTGGAGTCTGCATTTCATATTTCTTCTTTAATTAGAGCACTTCTTGCTTGCATACATTTGGTTGCAATCCTCAACTCTTGAAGGCAAGATACTGTCTGACAAAAGCATCATTTCCTTGCTCCAAGATGCTCCCAGTGTGAGCACAATCAAACTGTGCGGGTTTTCAGTCACACTGTACAAACTGTAAAGAGGTGCTTCTTTAAAGTCCAGGGTACAAATACTGGTTCTGGGCCCCCAAATGTCAGAAGTTCTGCAAACCCCTTTCCATCATTTTATGCATTATAGAACCTGTAGCAGGTGATATGGGGTCATAGAGCCTTTCAGGATGGAAGAGACTTCAGGAGGTCCCTAATCCAGCATTCAGCTCAAAGCAGTGTCAGCACTGAATTCAAACCAGGTTTCTCAGGGCTTTATCTAATTGAGTTTGAACACCTCCAGGGACGGTCATTGCACCATCTCTGAGAAGGCTTTAATACTGCTTTGCTATCTTCATAGCAAATTTCTGTTTTAAATTAATATTCTGTGGGACCCTCCCCATGGCAATTTATTGTCTATTGTTCTCATGCCACACACCTTTTCGATAGCCTCCCCACGGATACCAGTAGATCTTATTGAAACTGTCTTTTCTGACAGTTCAGTTCTGAATCTCCCAGCTCTTCTTGCCGGGCACAGGCACAAGTCCTTGAGAGCGCCTCGGTAACAGCTGTACCTGGATTATTTAAGGCTACTTTCTTTTTGGGATACCAACTGAGAGGCTTTCAGAGTCCGTAGAGGCTACAAACTTCAGTTGCACAATTAATGGCTGCAGAATCAAGGCAGGGAGTCATCCTCTGCCCTACTGAAGTTTGTTAGTTTCTTCTCTATTTTTAAATAGAAAAAAAGGCAAATTTTTTTGCAGATCTGTTGCTGCCAAGAAGTTCCAAGGGTTAAACAAAAGGCTGTTGCAGGAAATTCTTTTGTAGACAGACCCTTGAGGCTTCTGTGCAGAGAAGCTGATGGCACAGAACTGTGGTTCTCATGAAAACCCCCATGCCTGGCAGGCCTAGTATTCTTGGTAGCTGTTGGCAGCAATGAAACCCCCTTTGCTGGTGCTCTTGGAAGGCGGCTCCTGTGCTGGGTAATGGAGTGTGCCTTATGGTGGGAGAGAACCCCTTCCATTTAGACAGATGGGCCTAATTTGGCTCCCTTGGCTTCCGAAGCTGCAGAAGCCAGGCTGGAGAAAGCCATGTGAGCTTAATTAACTCACATCAAAGGTGCAGATCTTCACACTGGTTTAAATAGATGTGAGCTAACCAAAGACAGACCACTGAGTGATTGATTCTACTCCAGAGAAGCTATAGTCAGAGAAAGCAGCAGTGTGAAAAACAGCCTGGAGATTTCTCTTCAACATCTCTGATACTGAATTTGCTTACTCTAGTGGTCTAGTGATGACTTCTTGAACTGTCAGGTCAGAGAGAAGACAATACAATTGAAAATTAAATTAGTGCTCCATTTTTGCTACATCTGTCACTCTATAATACAGTTTCAAGACATAAGATAGCCATTCTGCTGATAACATATGAGACTGTAGATACTACCTCACTTGCCCAACAACCACATCCAAACAGTGCTGACTGCAGCTGAAACTTGCTCTCATCAATAAACAGGCAAGCTTGACTTAGCTACACAGGGAAGAGGAAATGGCCACGTAGACCAGAATGTGATTTTAGGGCAATGAACAGAAGAGTGAGTCACTTGTTGTGGTGTTTCTCCTGTCTATACACCTCGATGTTCGGGCATAGTGAATGGGAAGTAATTCTGGAGGATTTGAGCCCAATGCACATCGTGGGTGTGCTATGATAGCAGAAAAAAATGTACCAGGTAACAAATATATGCAGCTCCAAAATTATTATGTACCAGTATTGTTGGTCTGTTAGTCTAGCCTGACCATACACTGCTCTTCCAGCAGGGATGAAGAGGGCAGTGCTGTCTCTACACCCTCTCTTCCCAGCAGTGGGGCTGTGCCAGAGCTGGAGGTTGGCAGTGTATCAGTTCTTCCTCCCCTCCCCAATGGTCTTCTCCCTGTCTTTAGTGAAGTGAACAGAACAGAGCTGACATGCATGGAGTATTATTGCAGGTTTTCAGGGGTTTACTGGAGTGACAGTTACTGAATCCATATGAAAATGCAGTATTGAGTGCATAATAATACTTAGGAGAAGCATAAAAGGCCAAGGTTAGGTTGCTGCTTTCACTGAATGCTCTGAACAAAGAGAAAGAGCAGGTCACCCCAGGAGTCAAAGCGTCCTCTAAGCCCTGCACAGAGAGGCCCTGTCAAGAGCAGCAGTGTAATAACAAAGACATGCCTGAGCTGGCAGAGCTTTGGCAGTAACATGTATTTAGCACCGGCTCGCCCAGATTGCCCTTTGTAGCATGTCCACTGGAAGGACAGAAATATGAACTGTTTATTGCTGCTTCTGTACCCTTTGAAATAATTTTAAGCTATTTGGGTGCAAGTGTTGATATCTTGATTGTATATTGTACTTTCTAATCAGCTCTCCAGCCTTTCCTATCAGACCATGGCCATTTCAGTCTAGATATCCTGCTCTGAAGTTGAACTTTTTAAAAAATCACTTGGTAAAATTGTTTGGAAAAGCAACATATCTTGTAACAAAACAGTGGATGCAGATGGAGCTGAACCCAGAATATTTTTCCAAATGGTAATGCTGTCAAGGATTGTTAGTTGTCCCTAAACACAGTAAGTGCTTTCTGTGTTTGGAATTTTGTCTGTGTTTTTGTAATGGAGAATGTGCTTGGGTTTGGACACTAGTGTTTGTGAGCAGCATGGGAGTTGCCCACATTTCCTAGCATTTGGCCTATTCCTGTACACCATGTGGGCTTTTGGCTGAGGAAAAACTGCAGGTGGAATAGATATAGTGGATTTTTAGGCCCATGATAAATGTATCACTGGTAGTATTGAGGTGAACATCAGCTAAAATACAGTTATGGCTGGAGAAGTGACTCTGTGAGGATGGTATTTTCTAACTGTTCACATGACATCCTTGTCTTTAAATTGGAGAGATGTGAATTAGATGGATGAACCACTCAGGTGTATAAGGAGTTGGCTGGATGGCCACACTCCAATGGCTCAATATCCAAATGGAGATCAGTGACAAGTGGTGTTCCTTAGGGATCCCTGTTTGGATTGATGCTGCTTAACATCTTTGCTGGTGACAGGAAGAGTGGGATCGAGTGCACCTTCAGCAAGCTGAGTGGAGTGGTCAACATGCTGGAGGGAAGGGATGCCATCCAGAAGGACCTGGACAGGCTTGAGACATGGGCCTGTCAGGTCTCATGAAATTCAAAAAGGCCAAGTACAAGGTCCAGCACATAGGCTGAGGCAATCCTCAGCACAGGTATAGGATGGGAAGAGAGCAAATGAAGAGCAGCTCTGGGGATAAAGTCTTAGGAGTGTTGGTAGATTAAGAACTTGACATGACTTTCAGTGTGTGCTCACAGCCCAGAAAGCCAACAAGATCCTGGGCTGCATCAAACGGAGTGTGGCCAGCAGGTCAAGGGTCAAGATTCTTCCCTTCTACTCTACTCTACATCCCGTTTTGGGGTCCCCAGCACAGGAAACGTGTGAGAGAACTGTGTTTGTTCAGCCTGGAGAAGAAAAGGTTCCAGGGGGACTTCACTGCAGCCTTCTACTAGCTAAAGGGGGCTACGAGAGAGCTGGAGAGGCACTTTTTACAAGGGCATGTAGTGATAGGGGTGAGACACTGGAAGAGAAGCTGTGGGTGTCCCATCCCTGGAAGTGTTCAAAGCCAGGTCAGGTGGGGCTTTGAGCAACCCCATTGCAGTGAGGTTGGACCTAGATGATCTTGAAGATGCATTTCAACACAAACCATTTGATGACCTGCCTCCTTTGTGTCTCTGGGTCATATCTGCCTGGCCATATCTGCCTGGCCCATTGACAAAAGCAGTTTTGCCTTGCCTGTCAGCAGGACAGCATTGACTTAGCTGTGAAAGAGCAAACTGCATTCTGTTGTCTCGTCTATCACCAACAGTGGCCAGCTAACTGCTGCTGCCAAGGTCTGTATTGTAGCTGATGATCTTGAAGTCAAAGAACGGCTTGAGGTTTTCTGATGGACTCTGACAGCTGCAGTTGGGGCACTGAGAAGTTGCAGCCATCTTTTGTCTTGCAAATTATATAAAATTAATGCTACTGAAAAGCTAAATGGCATAGTAGTATACTTTTTCCCCACATTTATGCAATTAATTTCATTGTGTAGAAGGAGAAGTGTTCAGAATATCTCTCTGTACACTGTGGTAAAGTACAATGAATGTATTAGGCAAAATTACCTTGCCTAATCCCCTGTGTTTTTACAGTACCTGCACATGTACACAGGCAAATCCAGAAAATAGAAACTAACATAAAACCATCATAAGTTTCTTGTCCTACTTCCAACTTCCATGTAGTTTTCCTAAGTCTTGTCTGTGCATGGTTTTAATGCATGGTTGAGCATCAACCAGTAGTTTGATTACAGATGGAGTTGACCATCTAGGTAATGTCATCACATATAAATGGTATGTCCAGCAAGAAAAAGGGGAGGAAAAGCAGCAAAAGTAGAATAATTAGTAATCTGAGTGATAGAGTAATAATGATTTTTCCTCTTTGGAGGTGCATTTTCTGGTTGGCAGTATCAGCAGGCCATTTGAGAAACCAGCCAGCCTTTGCTGAAGCATACTAAAACACATGGAACAGTTGTAGTCAGGGATTGATGTATATTTAAAAATCTTCAAGGGAGTTAGCCACCAAAACTGCAGCT